GCATTCTCAGCTATTTTGGTCATATCTCTCGCCGCGGGGACGAAAGTATTGAGAAATTGATAGTTGTTGGAAACGTAGAGGGAAGAAGGCCCAGAGGTAGATCTCCAACTCGGTGGTCTGACCAAGTCAAAGAAGTCGGTGCGCGAAACTTCTACGACACTCTTCGTATGGCCAGCGATAGGACCCGGTGGAGACAGATCATACACAATAAGCTTACTCTCCGTGATGATGATCACGATCCTCAGTCATGAGGGACCGACTAGAGAGAGAGATTCTATGAGAGCGTGGACCTTCCCCGGTCAAACCGACCCATTCATGCTATAACCATGATATAGCAGTATCGTGACTCTACCACGTAAAAAAGCCTAACTTAAAGAAAGAACAACTGATTAGGCTAATATGACTGCTTTATACGAGACAGCATAGAATAGAATATTTTTTTTTTCATTCAATATATCACAAGTAATTCTTATTGAAAGTTTTCTTTTTACTTTACCACTGGTACCACTGGTACATAGTACGGAGAGCTCTACCTACACATTGGATTTACTCATCCAATCGAAATAAAATTTTTCTTTATGGACTATGGACATGGATATATGGAATAATTTCATTGCAATCGTATCTTTGCTTTTTTATAGATAGTAGTATAGTGCGCACACATACACATTATGTATGGTAAGTGGATGCTGGCCCATAGACATCTACATCTTTCCTCAAATTTAAAAATCAAAAGGCAGAAGTGTTATCACCCCTGAGCACTAAGATGGAATGTCTCGTTTTACGTAAAAAGGAATCTTCGGGAACTACGCTCACATTACGAAACACAGTGCATTAAACTTCTATTATACGGTGATATTCTGTGACAGCGTGGTCTTTCCCTTCTCAAAACAACTCATTCTACCAACCTACTATCACCAAGATATAGCTTTCATATGGCTCTAACATATATAATGGCTCTACCATATATAATAGCTCTACCATGTATAATGGCTCTACCATGTATAATGGCTCTACCATGTATAATGGCTCTACCATGTATAATGGCTCTACCATGTATAATGGCTCTACCATGTATAATGGCTCTAACATGTATAATGGCTCTACCATGTATAATGGCTCTACCATGTATAATGGATCTAACATGTATAATGACTCTACCATGTATAATGGCTCTACCATGTATAATGGCTCTACCATGTATAATGACTCTACCATGTATAATGGATCTAACATGTATAATGACTCTACCATGTATAATGGCTCTACGATGTATAATGGCTCTAACATGTATAATGACTCTACCATGTATAATGGCTCTACGATGTATAATGGCTCTCCCATGTATAATGGCTCTACCATGTATAATGGCTCTACCACGTATAAAACAACTCCTGGCACAATTTTTTTATTCGTTTGTTTTTATCTCTTTCTCTCCATTTTACTGATAATTATAGTTCAATCTAATCCAACTTTTTAACCAACGAAAATTTTTGTTATTAAGGAAATTGACAGAAATCTGAAATTCTTAAGCATATTGGCAAAAATTCATATTGTTGCATCTTTTATTTAAATAAGCTTTCGCTTGACATCACACTTTTTTTCATATCATTATTGACTAGGTATCATCTGACACCTATCTCTGTGCTGATTTCTAATTATTATCTCAAATATGTAGTTTGGGAGTCGGATATGTATGGTTTCGGCGATGTTTGTGTGTTTGTGTTGTTAGGAGGCTTTGACAGACATATCGTACTTTAAAGACAAACAGACATCTAAGCGATACCATAAAATTTTATAATAAATTATAACTATATATATTAAGTTATTATATAGTTATATAATACAGTTTTGTTAATTTTGAGATGGAAAGTGAGTGTGCACTTAGAGAGCTTCGTAAAAGTTGTTAAAAAATATTCAACATATGCCATAAGTTATCTTATATAACAAGAACTTTTTTATAAAATAAAACTATAAAACTTTATATATGTTACTAAAACTACTGTTACTAGAATATTTTTCGATCTAAATGATAATGTTTTAATAATAATTGATTTCGCTCTATGTGTAACAAACCAGAAAGAAAATTTATATTTCAAGAATAAAAAGGCTTGTTTGTAACACTCGAGGGTTAATTCATTTACCGGCAGTGTGAGAACTAAGTGAAATTGAACATGGATCACAATGTCGCAGAATTTTTGCAATATCTCGCATGCTTTCACCCGTCTCTTGTTAGAATTTTTCTCGTGTTCACCCGACGGTACTCACATTCAGACGTCATACTGATTTGACAATTTGCTGTCGTTCAATATAATAACTAGTAATTCTCGAATAAACAAAATACTTTTACCTATAATATAATTAAACTTTGTTTAAACATAGGTGCTTAACTACTAAGCAATTCATCACTTCTCAAATATATTACGTATCTAACAATTCACCCAGCTTCGCACGGGTCAATTGTAAATGTAATCAATTCAGGGACCCACTCAAACGTACACAAGAAATGTCATCAAAATCGTTTGAGCCGTTTACGAGTTTTACCATAACACAGCAATTAATTTTTATATACCTAAAGGGATTAAATGTTTTATGAATCCTCAAATTCTCGTTACAATTAAAAGGACTCACCTAGCAGTGGATTTTTAAGCGCTGTTTAATAAGAACAAAAAGGGTCTGATGATAGGCCTTTAATTTTATAGTACACGCAGGTTTCGATACAGTTATAAATTTATGAGAGTGAGAATAGAGAGTGTACCTGTGTGAAAGTGTTCGTGCACTCGTGCACTATGTAGTCACACGCAGATGTCTTGTCTTCGTTGAGAACGGCCACCATGATTGAAATTCGGTCTGGTAATAATAAATAGGGGGGGGGGGGGGGGTGTTTGGAAAAAAAGAAGTTTGGGCCTGGGGGTTGGGTTTTGGTAAGGAAACCAACATTAAATAATAACCACACCAAATCCATCTATTCGTTACACCCTGTAGAGTCCGCTGCTGAACATAGGTCTCTCGCATGATAGCCTTATACGGGAGACATGCGCCATAGTTTCAGTAGTTTGGCGAGCTGGGTAGTAATCGCAGATTTTTTTATTATTTTGCTATCATAAAGAAGAGAAAGAAAGAAAGAAGAGAAGATGCTGCTTCCCCCTGCTGTTTCACTTCCCTGTGTCAACTTTTACGAAACTCACGAGTTGATATGGAGTAGTGGATTATCTTACGCCGTCCTCACACCGTGAATGTTAACATTTTATTCATCTGCTTTTTTATTGTGTAAGGAAAATAGCTCTGAAGAATTAGGCGCAATGCATGAGCCAAGTCCCCTTAACACCTCCCTAAACACTTACTTTTTATAAAAAATGTATTTCAAAAAGACAAACATTCTGGCCGAGAAAATGATTTCTAGACCATACAAATGCTTTTTTCGGCGAGGGATTCGAATCCGCAACCCTAAGCGCTGCAACTCATTGCTAACAGCTACGCCACGGAGCCGTCATGCTATACATCTTACTATATTAACAGTAGGTGGCCTATATAATAATTAAAGACTAGGTAATATAGTTAATGATGCAACGTATCAAGAAAAGTAATATTTAAATTAGTATTTATAAATTAAATTTTTATTTCAAATATTGCTATTGTGTTTATTCATATTAAAGTACAAAAAAATTATATTCATTTTATTATTTCCGTGTAAATATTTAATCCCTCATTATGAACTGTAGTACAATTTCGCGCAGAAACATGCGAAAGCTTGAGATTTAACCGCGGTATGCGAAACGTCGCGTGGAAAAATCACTGTAAACTGAGAACAGGATGTCTCAACAGTCTAAAACCGTTGCTAAGCAACTGTAAACCATGTGAAATGGAACTGCAAATGCATGTTTGTTTAAATTAAGAATATTATAATTCATAAGACTCTTGTCAAAATATTCTCGTGTAGTAATATGGTCCGTTACGATTTATTCCTCTGTTCTCGCAAATATACGTAAAAAATTACAGTTTCTTCTTTACTAGACTACGATATTGTTACAAATAACGGATTAGTTTTGCTTGCCACTATAAAAATTTCGACAAATTATAACTTGTACGCAGTATCTTTTTCGTCAAGGCAGATATTGCATTCTTGTTATGACAAACAATCAAGAGAGATTACCATATATTGTACTAGTATACAGAATGGGTCCCACATATATGCAATAAATGAAACCATATACTTGTTATCGCCTTTGCTGACGATATACAAAAAATTAACGTAATCGGTCCAGTAATTAGGTCAAAAAGTAGAGTTTTAATTTTAAACAAATTTAAACACTTTATAGAATTGGGTCACTAAGTCAATGATTCAATGAACTTGAATCCTTGAACATTAAAAAGCGATGTTGCCACGCAGTGCTAACTATTGGTATTGCGACATATCGACAGCGGTGTCTTTTGTCGGCGTGCCACCCGCGTGCAACGTTGTCCTCTTCCAAGGGGTCAAGGTACGTTGTCTAAACAGAGTGTTCACTTTTACTGAATTTATTTTAATATTTATTTTGTTTGAAAATTTCCCTTTTTTATTTTACGGGTTTTAATTTAATATTTAATTTTTCTACACTTCTACGGACCAGTATTACTTGTGGTTTTATTTATTGCATATATGTGGGACCCATTCTGTATATAAGACAATATCCATTAAAAATGATATTATGTTATCTGTGGAATTTGGGTATATTTATTTGATATACCCAAATTCCACAGATTGCTAATGTGAAACAGCAACATCAATACCACCCATATCCGTAACAACTATTATAAATGTTTTATGAGGGAATTAAACCTGCAACCGTATATCATCATCCCGTATCACCCCGTGGGTGTAAGTGCGCCAGAGGGAAACAAATCAGGAGATGGGCAGCAGCGTCGTAACGGCTCAATTCATAAAGAGGAAAATATTCGAGCAGGTGCGGCATGCGTGATGCGGTTGTGCAGCATGTTTGGGGGCGCGTGCGGGGGCTAGCATGGCAGCGCTGCTGCTGCTAGTAGCCTCCGCGGCCGCCGCCAGCCTCGGCGAGCTAGCGCGACGCGACACCGGTGACGTGTTCACACTTCTTGATGGTAAGTAGATTACACTATTTGTATGGCGATGATCGTAAGCATAGACATTGGAATTAACCTCGCCGTGCACAGTTAATTCTAAAATACAGTATTAAAAGTCTAAAACTAACGAAAGAAGAAAAAAAAACAAATATCTTGTGTCACGTACGACGCAGTATCAAATACGAAGACGACGTTACAATAACGAGTTATTAAAACGTCATGGTTTTTTTTTAATTCTCATTTGTAATATTAAAAGGTACATCATTTGCTGAACTGCCAGAGAACGCTCTTACTCACCCCCTCCAAAAAGTCAATTAATGGGTATGTCGCATGATTTTGGTAAAACTAAAAGATTTTAATCACAACAATATAATTTTGATTAGGAGCCTGAACCCAATGGATTTTAACCATACGTGCGACCTTGTTGCACTCATAGTGCACAGTCAGACCAACGTAGTGTGGCCGCTTCAACGAGTTATTTCGTGCGTTAATCTGTATGATGTACCGCTACTTGAGTTATCGCCAACCATGTGACAAAATGGACACTCGATTTCATTGTAATCCGGAGTAGATCCATGATTTTGATCAAAAACTTGGACTTGTCTAGGATATTCCGGTTTTTGATCGACTCTCAGTAAAAAGTAAAGTAAAGTTACAGCCTATATACGTCCCACTGCTGGGCTCAGGCCTCCCCTCATTTCTGAGAGGGTTTAGGGCAAGGAAGTGTCCGCTGCGCTGCCCAAATGCGTGTTGACGAACTTCACATGTCTTCGAAATATTTTTTTTCTTATTCCTCAGACATGCAGGTTTCCTCACGATGTTTTCCTTCACCGCCGAGCACGTGGTAAATCAGCACTTAAAATTGCAATTAACAATTTCATTGGTGCCGGCGGGGATCGCACCCGGGTTACTCGCGTTCTGTTATATTTACAGCGAGCGTCAACCACTGAGCTACCACGGCTCTCATGATTTTGATCAAAATCCTAATAACATCAAAAGTCTGCGACAGATAGAAAAAAATTAACATATTTATTCGTAACTACAAATAACTTAATAACAAAATAATAGTATAAAAATATCATTAGGATTTAGGACCTAACTAATTACTCCTCTAGAACCAATTAGGCTATTCTCCTTATTATATTGTTTTAATCATATTAGTGCTGATATTCTGTTTATCAATCTAGATCTACATATCTCAATTATATTTAAAGATATAAAATATTATTACATTATGATGTGTTTTGTAACAGGTTTAGCCACTTACCATCAGAAGGATTATTAATTAATCTGATTGATACAAACAAATAAAATTTTGGGTTTTGGTTGCTGTTCCCGTGTGCAATTTTTGTATGTATTTCACGAATCGTAGACCTTGGGAGTCGCTGCATTATGTCTGAAACTGTTCCAGGCTCCCTTATGGCGATTATTTTATAGAATGAGAATAAAAATACAATCAATATGAGCACTGCGAAAGCTCCACAGTCAATGCCGTAGAGCCGTGGACAGAACCGAATTAAAATAAATGAGGCTCTAAATTTAATTGTTACCTTTAAGGACTAATATGGAATAAACAAAAGCCCTTTCAAGTAGTGTACTTAAAGGTATTTTTTAATTCTACATTAAGGCGGCGATTGCGGTGCAGTGCAGTGCGCTGAGCACGGCGCACGCGCAGTACCGCGCACTGTCGGTACTACAGGGTGCGTCTGCGCTTGTCCACAACGAGCCCCGCTGTTTAGAGAAGACCGTGAACTCTGCGTTGATGACTTGCCAGGTATATAGCGTAATTACCCCATTTGGGGCAATATGGAGTAGTGGATGTTCTTGTGAGTGCCGTTGAGGCGACAGAGGCAAACAAACCATACGAAGACCAGAAGTGTCTTCCAAATCAAAATCACCAGGAAATCAAAACTTCGGTTGTCAACCAGCCTGCAAAGCGTGGCAAATATGGGGAGGCTTATGCTTAATGAAATGATAGTGTGATGATGCTCCTTTTGTAATCTTATTATATCAAAACGTGCATATGTAGATGTAAGAGAGATGTGGTAACGGTGTAAGTGTTACGGCGGTTATGGGAAATGTCAGAAAATTCTTACGAATCCCAATAGATGTAAAACAGCAAAGAACACTACGATTGTGGTCTATAAAGGGTTATCACGACTTGCACGAATCTGTGTGTTTTATAATTCACCCCTTGGTATTCATGTTATCTCACACGTGATATCTCTAATAAACGTAGTAGAATCACGTATTAAACAAAAACAGCTCGGATACACCGGGAAAGGACCATGCTTGCACAGGATACTAGGCATTGCTGTGGCTATAATGATGAGTAAAGATGAAGAGAAATGGTCTCCACACATTTTACTGGTTGTTTTATGTGACAAATAACTAATTTATTAATCAAGACTGTTCACTTTATATTAATATATATTTATTGTGAAAAATAATTACAGTTTTTGAAAACTTAAGTAATTCTAGCCTTATAAAATATTACCAATTACTAAAGGCTATGGTAACAACATTGTAGCCACCTTAATACAATTGATTATTGATTACAGAGTACAGAGTAATTTCGTATTAACCCAAAGAGGTGACGACTCGTGCATTTTGATTCTTAATCGCAGATTGATGTGGATGTTTATGGGCGACCTCACGCATTTACTATTATGAACACTGTGTGCTCGTTTGTAATCCTTTATTAAAAAAATTGCATTCACAGTAATTCATCGAAAAGACTGACTTTTTACTTTAGTATTTAAAACGGAACTTTAACTATAAATTAATATATCGCTACGGCTGTATTACTTTAATTTTAATACGCAAATCTTCGTATTATGTTCATCGTCTTTTATTAAAGTATCGGTGTCAGTTTTAATACTTTAAATCATTTTTTTTCGTAATCCTAACAAATTAGCAAGAGTAATCAAGCCAATGCCACCGTCATTACCGGGACTCTTGCAATAAGCGGGGTAAATTTAGCACCGTTTCAATGTTCCAGATTTCAAAATAAGCTTATCATATAAATGATACGGTATTAGTCTTAATTCCTTTATAAATGATGCTCAATAAAATCAGTAAAAATGGCGGCTTGAGAAGATGAAATTGCAGTATTAAATTTGTCAAATATTTGTATTTCGTACACTTATAACGCGCACTTTTTTTATTTATTTCACAGAATGTTCTTTGGCGACGTTTGGGTCTGGCGTCGGCATGCAACGGATACCATTCGTGTATTTGCCATTGAAAGGTCAAATTATTCACCCATCTAGGGAAATTACATTTCAGAGTAAGTACCTGGTTAGTTTATTCATTAAGCGTTTAGACATTTATATACTCTTAGAATATTTATAAAAGTTTGTTTTAAACAGGGTAAAATATAATTACCTTACTTCAATAAGTGACAACATTTTGTTCATTAATATGATTAAAAAGATAATTATTAGTTAGATACTAGCTAGTACCCGGTACCTTGCTGCCGCAGAGGGAATAATAGTGGAAATATCGTTTTAAATTCGGAAGAGTTGTATTGTTTTATTAGGAACATATTGCAACACAGGAGGGGAGCATTATTTTCTGGTACCAAGCTGTCTGTAATTTTTTGCGGAGAAAAATCTGCGCCACGCAACAAAAAAAACTCACACATAACAATTAAAATAATACATTAACAATTTCACACACCCATAGAAACATTGTGTCATTACAGTGTAATGAAGTGACGCCACTACATTAACGAGTTGCATACAGCCGTGGCTGTAACAACTAACAACTATCATATACGCATTATCGATGAAAATGTGGATATTATAATAAAGATTAATAAAGAGGACTTTACTTATTACTTCTAGAATCACCTTTCATTTAAAAAATAAACTTTAATTTTTATATAATTTCAAAAATATAACGAAAACATTTTTATGGGTTCGCTTTTTACATTAGGAAAGAAACGACGCTTAAAAAGTTCCCTTTCTTCAAAGTCAATTTTTTTAGAGACCATCCGTTCTTCTATATCTATCAAAGATTTTTCATGCAGATTCTGAATAATATATTTTCAACAGAATAATGTTTTTCTTTAAAAAAAAAAGATTTTTAGCCTGGAGCCTTTAATTTTTTTTCTGAAAATATAGCTGTTGCATATTTTTTTCTTGGTGTAAGTGCAATAGTGGGATCAAATTATACTTTTCAGATGTTTACTTTGACAGCCTGAGAAACAAATTGGGTATATTATGCTGTTATCGTTTTTCAGCAGTTTACTAAATCTCAATAATAAAATAGTAGACATAACTATTTGATAAATATATACCTATTTATTGTAATTAAACGTAATATTATCTACAGTAAACTATTAAAACGAAACTCGCAAGTGGAGGAGTTGATGTTTTACATGCAGATGTCAAGGAATCAGAAATAGTGAGAGTGACACTAATGGCATAGTAAGATGATTGACATTGTACATTTTTTGAAGTGGAGAAATCTGAGCTTAATTTCACAACTCTAACTACACACTACACTTTACTACATACCTATTCAACATTTTACGGATGGCATCTGCAATCTTTTTTAATTACTTGTATATGAAAATTAACCCCATCTTCTTGTAAATTTGATGTGACAGAACTCTTTTTGCAGTAAAAACGGAATAATTAGGCATTTTTATAAGACGTCGATTCAGTCGCGAAAGTAAATTTAGTCTAGTGAGGTAGTGAGTAGTGTTACTTATACTTTGGCACAGGGGAACGCCTGCGTATGGCTAACGGGAAGGGGAACGCCCGAGTTGCTTTATGATTGGGAATTACGCTCATTGAAATTGAATAATATATAACACTAAAATAAATGTATCAGGAAAATACGCGCGCGACATATTGTAAGTTAATTGTACTATGCCTATAACCTTCGCGAAAGTGCAAAAAACAAGTTTACAAAGTTTTACCGCAATCTGATGAACGGTATGGCAGCACATATACGATAAATACGAACAAACAATCATTAATTTAATATTAGATACGTACTCGTTTCTTGTATTGATTTATCTTTTGTGTAAAGTCATAATTATGTTATGTCTGTGATGTGTAACTTTAATACTTATACCTATCTATACATATAAGTAATAAATCTGTAGAAAAGTCGTGTCTGTAATTCTAATATATTATTGTAAGTTTAGAATTTTTGTCTGACTGTATATTCACGATTCACGCAAAAACTTATAAGTATTTTAATCTGATTACGGAACTTCAAAAAAAGAAGGTTAATTATTCTCCTTCCTTTAGATGTTAATTTTCTATTATGATTCTGTTAGTTACGTGTATATACAGAATGACCTGTGGTTTTTCAAATGAATACCATATTTATAAATAAAACTTCAATTAATTTTTAACCTTTGTTTTTTGAAACTACGCCGACGATCTACATTTTAGTTTTCAAAACAGCGCCATCTATTATCAAATTGAAAAAGTACGTTTTGCCTTCATTTACTAATTAAATAATATAAAATCTAATTAAATAATATAAAATATAATGAAATAAATTACACTTATATGTTAAAATAATGATATATATAAAATTCTTTCAAAATACTTTATTTTTTAGCTTTTTCTGTATTTCATCTTAAAAGTGTAATAATTTAAATAGATAATAGTTACGTTTATCAAAAATATGAAAATCTATATGGTTTTTAGTTCAATTACTAATGTGTATGTTAACTGATTGAAACTGGTCTGCTTGCAATTATTGCAAAGTTCTCATCATCCTTATACATAGTTCTATCAAAGAGAATTTTTATATAAGCCGTTGCCAAATCGTAGTCTGATCATGAAATAGTAATTTAAAACTGTTTGTTGACCATGACCATATACTTTGTCCGAATCAATAAATACAGATAGATTAAATACTATAAAATTGGTAAATATAATTTTATTACACGTGTAGTATTCGCGTAAATACAAAAAATCATTAGATATAGAACTTCATTTATGAAATTTTGCGGTCTACTCAAACGTAAAAATAATATCAGCGTTTATTTTATGATGCCAATAAATTTTAAATGGGACCAGTGATATGAAAAAAGTATTAAAAAAATTAATGGACGACAATAAAGTTCATCAATAAACAATAAAATACAATAAAGTTTTGTCAAAATAAATTAACTTTAATGATAATAAAGTGTAAAATGTAAATAACGCAATTTTTATTATAAGACAATTGACCTTCCCTATGGATACATTGCAAGACACGCCTGATATAAAAAATGAAAAGTGTATATAGACGAGGTATGAATACAATTATGAATAACTTATTTATTCACGTGTCCCTTTAACATATTAAATGTATGTCAAATATCAATCATCTAAGTTCAATGGTTCTTGAGAATTCAAAAAAATTCTTTGATAAACAGACACGAGACACAGACACATAGATGACTCTGATAGTGAGCGAATTTTGCTAAATTTGGCACGGAACAACATTTACTAATGTCGCTAAATTGAAGGCTACGCGAGGGAAGCCACTGGTAAAAAGATAGTTTAAAATATATAGTCATTAGTTATTATTAAGGTTACTTGAGTTATAGTTCCTAGATTTTCGGTTGGATATCTTTCTGGTATCATGTTTTATGAGTAGGTATCAAAGCAATCGTTCAAGGTTGCGTATGGACTATTTTAGGTTTCCATAAATTACAGAAATGTATCGCGAAATTTCCACCGGTCAGTCCGTCCGTATCTAATTATTGAATCTAACATCATCATCATTGCAATCTGTCATAAAACCACTGCTGAACGAAAGTCCTCCTCACAGATTACGATAAACACGGTTCTTAGCCAATTATACACTTTCTCTAGCATAATCACTCTTTACTGCACTCACCGATTCTAGCCTGCCACTTGGATACCCTTCTTTACCTAGCGGTTCTTTGAGCTATAGACCAGCCTCAAGCTTACCTATTGATTCGTTAGGTAATTAACGTCGGTTACTCTGGTACAACTCACGGCATGAAAGTCTAGCGGTGACCGTTAATTTAGTTTTATTCAGCGCTAGAGTTACGTGCCGCGAGTTGTAATACTGCGAATATGGTTATATTCTCTACATTCTTTCGTCAATAGTGAGTTCGTTATGACTTTAAACTTCCTCATGCGGTCAGTAGTAAAAAATTTAGATTAGATATGTTACGTACTTATTTTTTTTACAGATGTTAAAACTCCAATATGCGCGGTATCCGGAGCGCAATATCTCACTCGCAAAGGATTTTTGGATTTACGTAACACACTGGATGCGGACGTGCCATTTAGCCTGTTCCGAGATGAAGGCAGGACTTTCTTACAGGTAGGGCTCTGTATTCGAATATTCGTTATATTCGAATATTCACCTCATATACTATTCGAATAATATATAGAGTAATATTCGAATATTTCGAATACTACAAATAAATAGAATTTAAGAATAAAAATATTTCAAAACATGCAAATAGCAAAAAAGTAAGAAAATTTGAATTTCGCGGGCTACCCTGGCGCTTTCAGCTTAATGAGAGAATATTATAATTTTTTGTTAGCAATTCCTTCAACAAGTATAGAATCTGAAAGAGTATTTTCGTCATGTAGAATGACATGCAGATAGCTTCGTAGTGCCTTTAATGATGAGTGATGACATTCTAGACTGACTTTCAGTTCTTAGGTCATATTGTCAAAGCAAGTAAAAGTAAAAAGTAAAGTTACAGCCTATATACGTCCCACTGCTGGGCTCAGGCCTCCCCCTCATTTCTGAGAGGGTTTAGGGCAAGGAAGTGTCCGCCGCGCTGCCCAAATGCGTGTTGACGAACTTCACATGTCTTCGAAATATTTTTTTTCTTATTCCTCAGACATGCAAGTTTCCTCACGATGTCTTCCTTCACCGCCGAGCACACTTAAAATTGCAATTAACAATTTCATTGGTGCCGGCGGGGATTGAACCCGGGTTACTCTCGCGTTCTGTTATATTTACAGCGAGCGTTAACCACTGAGCTACCACGGTTCATCAAAGCAAGAAGTATTGATTAATAACGTTTAACGATAAACTTTACTTTTCAATTGTTAAATATTGCTTACCTTATGTTCAAAAGTATATAGATATATTGAAGTCAGATTTTTTATTTCTTAATTTTGAAAAGACACATTTTTTGGTTTGCTAATAGAAGTAGATTTTATAGTATATTTAAAATGTTAACTTTATGTGTATGAATAATAATGCAAGAATTTATTATTAAAAAAAGTAATTTTCTGAGCTAAACTTAATAAGGCTTTATTTTTTTACTATTGTACTTTTAGAATAATAAAAATACACATGTATCGAGAAAAATCACTCGTTTTCATGTTTCTATTATTTTTATAAGTAATTTTCTGTGTTTAGTGTAAAAAAAAAACTGATTGATAAAAAATTCCGGGTGTCCGGATGTCTGTATGTGTGGGTGGCGCACGATAACGGTCTTTAGAATTAATGTATCAAAATAATTCTTTTTTTATTAGGTTTAGAATCTCAACGCACAGGTTCCTTAAAAATCAATCATTAATCAAATCAAAATCTGTAATTAGGTCTCGTTTAATTGTAATTAACGAAAATGTAAAAAAAAAAACTGAAAAATATTCTCAGTCTGATAGTTAGTGATTTATGCCAATAAGTATTTAGAAAAAAGTTTGTTCGTCTTTTTTTTCTTTTGAGTCTCTACCTAAGAGTCAGTGTGCTATAAAACATCCACGAATTATGTGCCGTATATAAGTTAAAAGACACACTGTTAATATAAGTTAAAAGACACGCCTTAAGTAGAAAGTATTCGAAAAATTCGTAATATTCAAATAATTCGAATAGTATGTCAGGAACTATTCGAAATATTCGAATAGTAAAATTGAACGAATACTGCAAGCCCTACTTACAGGTACCAAGCCTTCTGTTGTCTGATGTTTAAATAATATCTCTTGGTATAATAAATTTTCTCAAAATCTCTCATGAGGCCTCATACTCATAGCTTTTTATCTTGATTTAGATTAATAAAAAAATGTTTATTTCTTACTTACTACTTCTTTAAATATTACGTTTTAAATGGTAGAGCTATGCTGCAGATATATTTTTTGGTTGTAACACGAATGGGTCGGCTCGACCGGGGTTGAGCCGACCCATTCGTGTTAAAAGACCAAGTAGAGTACCAGCGTAAAATAGTAGCTTAATGCTGCTGTGTTTCGTATGGTGAGTGTAAAGAACCGGAGACCTTTTTTACTGGAAACGAGGCATTCCATCTTAGTCCTCAGAAGTGATAACGCATCTGCATTTTGATTCTTAATCGCGGATAAATATCTATAGGCCTCACAATCCACTTACCATCAGGTGGACTGTGCTCGTTTGTCACCCTTATTCTATAAAAAAAATTGTAAATACTTAACAGAAACAACGGTAGTGCATGAATGTTTGCAGTCAGTTTCAAACAAAAAAGACAAAAAAGGCTACGTGTCACCCCACAAGAACTAAGTTGGAATGTTTCGTGGTATGAAGTCATTCTACAAATGTAATTACGCTGCAAGTAGTAATACCGGATCGCCTCAAAGTCGTTAAATTGTACAACTTTTGCATACACACGTGATGCCCTATACAGATAAACCTGAGATTTACAGACTTATGACATAAAATAGCGAAAAGTAATAAAAATGTTTTTATTACCTACATCGCACAATGAGTCAAAATCAGCTATTTAAATTATACTTGATCTGTGTCATTTGTCTCAGACTCTCAGCACAAGTTAACAAATCTGTATCAAAACGAAAATACTATAGGTATATATAAAAAATGTAGCAGGTAAATAGATAAAGCGATGCAACGGATAAGTTATACATAATTTTATTTCACAAATGCCTAATGCCTTTTACCTGTATTATGTAGGAATAAATTATGGGTGATTTTCTCCTTTGATTATTTTTCATTCATTCTTTACATTACAGCCTATTGGGCTATAGCCAAATATATAGGAGAAGATAGTTATATGGTCCCCTACTTTGTGTTTGGGGCTTCATGTAAAAAACATAAGACTCAGAAATCGAATAAGTACATTACAGTGTTCCTCATGTATTTGTCTATGCATGCTTAACTATGAAATAAATGATACTGCCACAGAATAATCAAAAATAAATATATTCTAAATTATTTTAATTTAGCAATTTGAGATACAGTTAGGGTTATATGCTTATATGGCACCCTGAGGGCCATATTAAATGAGTTCAGTGTCATTAAATAGTGCACCCTTATATTAAATGTGTTCAGTGTCATTAAAATCTAGCGGCTAAAATCGCAGATAGACCTAGACTGAATCCACTCCTCTCGATCTGTAGCTCCAATAACTAGCTTCACAGAACATGCAGTTCGTATCTGAGCTTTCAGATACCAAATTTGGATAGATATTTTCGTCAGCTTCCGAGTCAGTTTCCACGACTGCATCACTTTCAGAGCTACTACTGGATGTAGCGCCTCTTTGACGCCGATTTGAGCAGCTGCCCCCTCCATCTAAACTGCGTCTGTGGTCGCGTCCAGTACTTTTTTATACCTTTGTCCTCACTGCTTCAATAGTCTTTTTCATATATATAGTCAGCATCCCATGTTTCTCTTATCCTTGAAGACGGACACAATCCACTTCGTCGCAGTGTCTAAATCAGGAAAATAAATAATAAAGAAATTATTTGTTGCCTACTTGTTATTTATATAATACAATACAAACAATGTGAGGAGTCCAAATTAGAACCATCAAAGGATAAATAAACAATCCATAATTCAGAAAGTTTAAGTTTTTCCACAGAAACTGAATATAAATCGAAGCGGTTTTATAAATTTGTCAATTACTGTTTTCGATAGATTCCAATAATAATAGAATGTTACGCCTACTACCGGAATTTTTGGGTACTAAATAGATTCTGTCACAGGGGCTCTGCGTTGCCCTAAAAAGATACTAGGTGGCGCGTATCTAAATCATAAATATTAAAAAGAGGCATAATACCTACGGGGGCACATTACCACCTTCTCCGTATATATATTTGCCATATTTGTCACACTTGGCATGTGAGTTGGCAACCGCAGTTTTCTGTTGTTTTGAAATTTTACCTGGATGATACTGCTGCCTATTCCCCGTTTTATATTGATATGGAGTAGTTGATTATCTTACGCCAACACAACACGGCAAGCATGAAACTTGGGTGGAATTTTTATATTTGTATAAACTATATATATATCATATATATATATATATATATATATATATATATGTCATATATATATATAGCACTTTTTGTGCTTGTAAAGCTTCCCATATTGCGGGATGTAGTATTAATTGCAGGATGTACTATTGAATCGAAAGCTTTCTGGTAGGTAGTCTACAAACGCTATGTAGAGTGGACGTTGATATTCCTGATATTTTTCAATAAGTAATTCCAGAGAAGGATATGGTCCATTGTGGAGTAGCTCTTTCGAAACCCCAGCTTGCTCGATTGGTTAACTTTCTTCCAGTGTATTCCTGATTCTCTACTGTATTATTGTTGTATATTTTTTGTATATTTGTACTTCCTTACATACCTACGCATAAATGCTCGCCCACACATAAGGATTTAGGCAAAAGCTCAAGATTTGTGGGCTTCAATAAATTGCGGCATAATGATCTTTTATGTATACCATATGTAGAATACCAGTCCTTGGAGGAGGTCTATGTTTATATCTGTGAATTTGTGAGGAACCAGCCAAGCGTGGCGGTTACAGCAAATTATTCCTACAATGTTCAGCGGTGGACTTTTTCGATCTGATGAGAAAATGGAATTGAGAACTGCAGTACGTGAAGTTCCTGTCGCCAATCTAGTACTTACCTATAATATATGTTATGAAACAAGTGATTAACCTATTTATAATGCCCGGGCAATATGAATAATGGCAGATCAAATTGGGCTATGTAATGAATACTGATTTAAACTTCATTATATACCACATTTTCTGGTCATTATCTCGGACATATCGGACTTTATTCATAAAGCCCGGTTAATTTTATTATTTCAACAGTTATCACATTGTCTACTCATATTGGACATTATTCATATTGCCCGGGAATTACATCACTTGGTCCATAACACCTACGCGATATAATAGTTATTCCACCGTAAATTGTAGCTAGGTAACTCAAAATCATAACAAGGATGTAAAGAATAAAATTGGGTGAAAGATTCTCTTCATTAATTCACTGCTTTATTTAAGAATAGAAAATTGTGCAAACTGACATGAATACCTAGTAAATTTTGCGCGTATTGACCAAGCCTGTTAGCACTGTTGAATTCGGGTTTGGCATACATACACCCTACCACACAGCGAGATTTTATTTTATGAATTATGTGCGTCATTTAGTGGAGCGGAGAGGACGACATGCGCACTCGTATGTCCGGGCGAGTCATGCTGGTGAGGCTGCTCTGCCGTGACGTGGCCGAGCCGCCCAGCTCCCCACTCGACCTACGCGGCGTCTTCACACCGTGCGTCGCGTTCAGGGTACAAGGGACGCCGCCTCGATCCGTTAGCAGTATGTTATTGTTCTTTCATTTGGTTCCAAAAAAAAAAACTGACTTTTTGTTCATTACCCCTTACAGCCTATTGAAAGTCCTTGCTTTTAAATACCAAAATATTTACGAGATGCTGCTACCCGTCTCATGCTTCGTTTCGTCTCTCTTCGTAACATAATCTATAATTCATTTCGTCGGCAGTGGAATATTAGGGGCTGATAAAGATAATGAAGATACAAAAATATAGTAGATTCAACAATAGGAAGAATATGTAGTGACTAGATAGTTACAATTTAAAAAGACCATCGCATACGAGGATATTTTCTGTAAAATAGCGAAATCCAGAACTAGAACAACTAGACCATAAAAATAATTGGTTTGAGCGGGAATCAAACCCACAAAATATAATACAGATAGTGCAGCAGCAACAATAATCACAATTATTCGTACCTCTCTTTTACTATTATAAGTTTATAAGCCAGTGCCTGAATATGCTATCCCACCCGATGGTAAGTGATGACGTAGCCTAATATAGTTAAATTTGCTTTGCTGCTTAGCTGTGATTTTACTTAAAAACCTATTTACTCTTGCCTTGAAGACACTCACATTGTAGTCCCGTAGAATACCGAAAGATTTGATACTTTGAGCATGTGCTCAAAACTTGTAAAATAGGCTTAAACCAGATTCAGGTGACAGACAAGCCTCTTAGCACGCCTTCCCATTGAGTCCGAAGCTGCTAGGCGGCACGTTGCTGCACCAGTCAACATATTGCAGCAATACTATATGCACGACCGGACTTGCGCTTTATATTTTGAAAGCCGCTGTCGCAAAGTGAACTTACTTCCAAGGCTCACTTCCTTGCAGCTGCTTTAGCTCTGGACTCCGTCAACCGTCCGAAATTTAGGTTCGAGGAAATCTCAGCTGCTAACAACTAAAGACGGTCAATGTATTTAAATTATACATTTCGGCAAGGAATCAAGTTGAGCTGATCCCTCATTGCGGTGAAGAAACTATTAACCAACAAACGCTATGTATGAAATTCTTAAGAGAAAAGCTCATAGAGGTTAGGTAGCAGCAAAAGAGTAATAAACATTCCCTCAATCAATAGCTAAATCTTTCGTAATTAGCTTTACGATTTGGCTACATAGCTGAGCGCTGTGCTTTCAAGTCCCACTGGCAACATATACTTGAAATAAATGTTTATACCTTGGATGTTTTTTCCATGTGCAATTTAAGTGTGTAAAGCCCACAGAACATAAAATAAACCGAGGAAAGTAATAAAATTAGATTCAAATATATATTAACTAATTGTAAATGTTTATGATTTTAATAACATAATAAAATCTCTAAGCTGATGAGATAAAAACGTGTTGGTCCTAACAATAAAGTAGAAATCATTCTTTTCAGATATAACAGAAGTTCAGTTCGCACCAAATGCTCAAACTTCAGGAGCGTCGAGCACATCTGGCTTAACTGTTACGGAATACATAGTCATAGGCATCAGCTCACTCCTCCTTGGTCTTATATACGTTGCATCCGTTTTCTTATATTTGCATATAAGAAAACGTCGAAAGACAGCTTCTGATAAAAACAATACAAGGAAAACGAAAGTCCTAAAAAACAAAGACGGGAAAATCATAACTGAACATGATATTATCCGCATAAGTAATGAGCGTATCCACACATTACCTAATGTCCTCGGTCAAGACGATGGCATTGTAAAGAAAAATCCATTGCTTAGCCGACAGTATCAAGATAGCAAAACAGGTTTTACAAGCGACTCTGGCAGTAATATGTCAGATTCGGATGACTTCGCCGGTAGCAGCTCAAGAAGTGAAGACAATGTATGCAAAGTAAGTAACTAATTAGAATCGCGTTTTTAAATCACATTTGTTACAAATGAATACACTTGAAAGTAAAAATGTTCACTATGATAGACAACTTCGCATAAATTATGAAGAATCTAGATAAGGCCCGGCGCCGCCGAGAGCCAATAAAATATCTCGTTGTTATTCGACTTTATCCATCTCTTTCTGTCTCTCTCTATCTCCCTTTCTCACGCAAAAATAACGCAGTAGCGTTGCGCTGCTACTTTTTAATAGTATTCGAAAATTTCCTTTTCTGATCATACTCACACATTTTCGATTGGTCATTTAACTCAAAATAACATGACCTTGTAATTTTTAATATTTTAATAATATGTATTACTGTTAATTACATTTGTATTACAAAATATTTTATAAAATATTATTCTAATGATTTCTTATATTTACGCGAACACTATACATTGATTAAAACTACTTTTACGGATTTTATCGCGTTTTATTTATATTAATTTTAATACCCGACGTTTGGGGTGCTTTCCAGCACCCATGGTCACGGGGGACTGAGGTGACTGACGTCCCGATGTCAAAGTTAACCCGGAGTACCTTCAGCTTTTTAAATATTGTAATTGATCTCTTTATTTGCCCTATATATGAGAGACCACAATCACAATCAAGCTTGTACACTCCTGCATCTTGTAGAGGAATATGACACTTGACGGATGGTAAGAAGATGGATAGAGAAGGAGGCCGGGTACTACCACCTGCTTGGGATCCTATAATTAATAAAATTAAAACTAAACCCAAGCATAACACTGCAAGACTTCAAAATACAGTTAGTTCATTCTGCGTAGATCGGACGAAAGACAATATTTAAAAAGCTGAAGGTACTCCGGGTTAACTTTGTCATCGGGACGTCAGTCACCTCAGTCCCCCGTGACCATGGGTGCTGGAAAGCACCCGAAACGTCGGGTATTAAAATTAATATAAATAAAACGCGATAAAATCCATAAAAGTAGTTTTAATCAACAAATATTATTCTGGCAAGAATTATTTTTTGTAACACCGAGCAAATCTCATTCGCTCAGTTACTACTATTAAAATGGCTGGCGCGTTTACAGTTCATCTGATTGTAATTCACCAGCTCATTTTGACTATGAATGAATAGAACGAAGTAGCAAATAGTTTTTAAAGCTTTAATTTTTCCCTTTATTCACAAATCACTAACTTCTACTTTTTTCAGAAAAAAACTACATCAGCCATTGTGCATCTTCATAGCTATGAACTTAGGCCTCAAAATAATCCAGACATAAGCCATCGTGACGAATCCGGTATCGAAAAACTACCTGATGAGCACGTATCAATAGTAGAGACAATCGACGATCGAGAAATAACTCGACCGGTTGGGACTACTAGAAGGAAACTTTATTTCAATCCAGCTTATTTTGAACCACATTTAATGGCTGTAAGTAATGAAGTAATTATTATTTTACTTAAATATTATAAACGTTAAGTAAACGCTAATAAATATGTTTGATTGCAGGAACCGCCGCCAGCAGCACTTGAATTCTTAACAAAAATAAGAGAAGTTATATCGATTGCGAAACATAAGATGGCTGCTAAACGCTTTCACCCTGTTTTAAATGAAATACCAGAGGAAGAGACTTATCCATCAAATGGAAACAGTTTAGATCTTTATCAAGGGCTTGGAAGTCAACGCAGTGGAAGTGTTGTTAGTCTTAAAAGAGAGAATAGTAGGAAGAAGTCTGTGAACTGTGTAGGCTGTCCAGGTTGTCAACCTAATGTTAAAAATGAACTAAAAAGCTATATGAATTCTGATAATGCAACATGTACGAGTTGCCTCAATAACAAGGGAGATAAACAAAATAGTATCCGTAAATGGCTGGAAAATATCCCTAATGTAAAACAGCAAGCAACGTACGACGACTTAATTAACAACAGTCAAAATAATTTAACTGACTCTGTTCTATCTTTACCTATTAAGGTGAAACAATGTGCGTTGAAGAAACAAAACAGTTTTTCCACATGTAGTTCAGTGCATTCACATGATGAATTTACAAATATTCCTAAGAGATCTTCGATACGATCTGTTAGATCAGAGCCACCGCTAAGAAATTACAATATACCACTACCTGACTTTGACAATATTGAATGTCTTCATGATTTCCATAACGGTGAGACTGTGTCATCAATCGACAATAATATTGTTTTTGATGACAGTCGATCTGGCAGTTCAAGAAGCTATAAAACATTTCAGTGTAGAAATAAAATATTTAGTAATAAGAATGTTTTACCCGATATGATAAATGAAGCTATCGCCCTAGAGCATTGTTCTAAATCAGATGATTTAAGTAGCTCTGACGAAGAAAAATTAAATAATTTAACTGATAACATCGATAACCAAAACGTCTTTACAAGAAATAAGTCTGAAAGCCCAAACGGAAATGATTATGAAACTGATAGTTTGGAGAGAGCATCAAAAGAAAAAAGAAAATCGTCACCTATAGATTATTCGGATGTACCTTCTTCACAAGCAAGTCCCAGCTTGAGTAATGCTTTACCATTAGAAGAAGAACTTACGATGAGAAATGCTGTTTATAAGATTCACTCAAGCAGCAATAGTAACACACCTTCACCACAAAGAGATGTCTGTATAGATTCAAAATATTATGAAACTGAAGACAAAATACGCACTGAAAAATATTCGCCAGAAATAAAAGATATTAAAAAAGAAAAAAGCGATTACAGTCTGGTTAGTGAAGTGTACGTAAATAATAATTTTGGTAGTACGCCGACTTCACCTAGTGGATCTGAGTGTTCAATGGGTAGTAGAAAATTAAGGAATGTTGATGAAGAATGTGACGAAAAACCAGGGTGCTTGACTATAGAAGTAAAAGATCCACCAGAAAATTATATAAAGATTCATGAATCAGACGGTTTTGAACCTGATACATTAGATAGAAAACATCCAAAAAATAGAAAATTTGTTGATGATAGTCAGTTTAGTCGTAATGATTTTATGAAAACTATTTTCAATACTGAAAGCAAGCCAAGTCAACTTATACAACTCAGAAGCAGTGGCACTTTTAAAAAAGATACCAGTAAAGAACAATTTGCGACAAAATTTAATAGTTTAAGAAATGATCAAGAACAAAACAATCGCCCAAAGTTGTCGCCAAGTATGTTTCAAGACGTAAAAACCATTGAAGATTCCGATGACACTTGGGATGATAGTGGATGGAACACAGAAGAAGGCAGAATATTAACTTTAGAATACAGGCACTCAAAGAGGCAGCGTCAATGTACTCCACCTACAATAAAACAACTGAAAAATTTTGCTAGGCCTGATATTCTACCACCATTACCGCCTACGGTGGAAAGTTCAATTTACGAAAAACCAATTATACCGCCAAGGCGAGTGGAAAATGACATAAACAACGTAGAAACTCATGCAAAAAATGTGAAAAGCAGAAGCCTCAGATCTAACCAAAGTATAGCATCATTGGTTGAGTCCGACTCAGGACCGAATACTCATCACGATTTACATTATGAACCTTCCTGCAGTCCATTGAGAGCTTCTGTTCAGTCGCAAACATTAGAATTCATAGATAATAGTTCCGCCAATACTGTTCAAAGTATAACACAAAATACAAATATTTCTTGCAGGAATTCAAATCGACAAATCAATGTTAAAAATTGTAGCAGTGGTAGAATAGATTCAAGTACTTTTGTGAGAGTGAGAGAAGACGGTCATAGTAGAACAAGGTATAGACAAAAAAGTGTTAACATCGAAGATTCGGGATATTTAAGCAGTGACTCTACAGGTTCCAGGCAGATACTAAAAAAAATTGTCTTAGCCAACATAGTGAATTGCAGTGATACGGACGATACGGAAAATGAAGCCAGAAGTGAATCTGGTGCCGAAAGTACAGAAGCACATTCTGTATATTTTGGTAGTTTTAGGAAATTGACGTCAAGTGACGAAAACTCGAACAACAGTAAGAGTTTAAGAAACAGTTTACGAAACATCAAACATTAGTAACAATTAAGTGAAAGTCATTCATATCATGTTTAATGCAATAATACAGGTTTATTTCTCAGAATAGCCAAATTTTAAACTTAAGTTCAATTATACAAATAATGATATACTGTTATTATATTTTTGAAAATACGAGTAAATAAGGCTTCTACTTTTATTTGAAACTATCTCAAATGAAATGTGATTTATGGGTGACAACGTTTTTACCTACCGATCGACCCTTACAAATTTAATCGTCGAATAAATGTAACCGTGGTTTATCTGATTTTATTGCTGATTTTTTTCTTCTGATTTTTATGATTCTGATTTATGCACGTGCGCAATAAAATCAGTTAAAATTTTCTTATTATTACGATTTCTGTGGTTAAAATACCATGAATTTTAATTTAAAAGATAAATAGGGCACAGAATGTTTGAGATTTTTTTAATTAAATTTATTTTTTCTTTACCATTTGCCTAATTATATTACTTATTCTGAACCTTCTCTGGATATTTGGCCGGTTATTGCAAAATAAGCCTGTATAATAGTAAAATACCTATAATTTGGTGCAATAGTTTGTGCAATAAGTGTAAATAAAAAGCTGAAATAACATTTTAGCTCAATTAAATATAAGTACGAGTTAATTACCTCTAATATTACAAATATCAATATTAATGAATATTGTTTAAGTTCTTACATTCCTATTTATAGTAGGTAGTAACAAGTGGCCGGAAGTGCAATGCAATAGTAGTTTTTATAAAAGAATAGATTTAAGAATTTGTTTCTTTAAAGTTTTTATTTATTTTTATATAACTTATAGTAGACGGTGACTTAAAACCACGTTTAAGTCAGGCTCATGCGGGACATAACTAGCTGTTTATTGTACGGTATGTTTTACTTAATATAACATAAAATTTATGATTTACAATATTTTAAAATTTAAAAAAAAAATTAACATTTATTGAAATAATAATAAATACAGAACAATAGAACTTTAATTAGTAACATCTATTAGAATATTTTAAATTACAAACAAAACATTAAATCATTTGATCAAGAAATATAAAAAAATAAGTACTTGACAAAAAGTAATTTAAACTTTTTGACACGTTTTTTGTCTATAATCATCTTTGACTAGAGAAGAAAGAAATCATTTAGTATTCTACAATTTTTTAAGTAAAGTTATTGCACATGCTTCGCTCGTACGCTAACTTCACGCGGTTCAATAGTCGGCTACTAAAGTCCCTTGTAACCTAATGTACTATTTAATTTATTATCAGATACATAATTTATTAATTACAGAATATTTATTTATTTTTAATGTCGTCATTGTAAATAAGAAAACAGAGTCGGGCAGCAGAGTATAGCTTCCTAGTACCTGACAAAATGGCGTGCTCCGGATGGTATGAGATTTTTATGCAACATTCCATCTGTATCAGTACAGAGCACAATAAATACGTGTATGTGTACACTATGTTGAAAACAAATAATCTTTTCCTTTACCAAGACTTACATTATATTAAATACATATTTTCGTTCGCATAATATAGTGGGTGGCAAGGATCAAGTCGTAGAAAAGCTCTGCTAGTTTTTAATTACAAAACTGACAATTTACCTTTACGGCATTATCTTGTAAATTAATAACAGCATAAAAAATAACCAACAAGTGTGATTCCCATAAGTCACAACTATGGAGATTCACCAATTAACTACAATACATAAATATTATCCAATATACAATATGTAAAGAAATTGGCCTGATCCGAAGAGGGCGCATAGGTAGATACTGTAATGTTATTACCAAAAAAATGTAAAATCATACTGCATAAATGTTGAGTGTACGCTTAGCCATATACATACATATATGTGTAAGCGTACACGATCAGGACATGAACCAGTGTTTTCAGCTTTTGTGTATTTTATATTCGTCCATCTTTAAATGCACCGGGATTACTTAATTTAATTTAGCTGAGCTAAATGAGCTTCGCCAAAATTAAATTAAATAGAACTAATTTGATCATGATTCCAAAATATAAGTATATGAGAACTTAAATTACCGATTTAAACTGACACTGTTAGTTTATCTTATTTTAGTTATTATACACATTTTTGTTTCTAAAATCAAAATCAAGGGTACCTCTCTTAGAGCCAGTGCGGCATCAGTCTTTGAGAAATGACTACATGTTTGTGCCATTTGCTGTAGAGACTATCGGTCCGTGGGGTCCACGTGCAGTGAAGTTTCTAAAGAAACTGGTCGTCGCTGCTGCTGATAAGAGGGCTGGTTCTTTCCTCGCTCAAAGGCTAAGTATAGCTATTCAGCGAGGAAACGCAGCCAGCGTTCTTGGCACGATACCGCGGGAAGTAGGACTTTATGACGATTTAAATTTTTAGTTTTAGTTTTTCTTTATTATCGTTTTTTTTAATATGATGTGTAAATAAATATTATATTAAATTAATTTAATCTTTGCAGATTATATATTAAAATAAAATGTATACATACACACTCAAATCGTGACACTTGTTTATGCTTCATCTCAATCGACATTTTCGGTGATATATCAAGCCATTAGCAGAGGTAAAAATTTTAATCCACCTTCATCAAAACTATAAAAAAAAATTTGTTATTACAGCAAATCCAAATACACAAACTTATGAACCTAGGCCTCTCCCATTAATGCCACTCTAGCAGGCAGGTAAACAGCCGTTTTTCTATTATTTTCTGTTGTAATTAGGTAGATATAGCAGTATCTAAGTGAGAGATGGGGAGCAGCCCATCTCCCATTTTATTTTACCTTTATCGCTTCTTAGGGTGTGACCACACCAATCGATAGATCGTCGATTGACAATTAATCGATGTGGTCGTGGGCTCAACATCAGTATCTTTCAAAATGTGTACAGAAGAGTACGCGTTATTGTTGGTCAGTAAGCTCTTGCTCGTATTTTTATTATGGAGACGCAAACGTAGAAGACTCAGGATGCGACCGCTTTTTAAGGCCAGAGATAGCTTAAATTCATCTAGATGATATTTTAAATAGCAGTCGGTGGAGCTGGACGGATTCTCATATCGACTAATCTATTCTATCATCAATCGATTGATGTGGTAGAAACAATCCATTCCACTATCGATCGATTAACGATCGATCGGTGTGATAAAACCCTAACGAAAAGAATATAGAGTAGTATATTCTATTTGTCACTACACGACGAATTTTAAATTGCTATTTCATTATAATCTTATGGAATAGGGTAATGGAGTCTTCTCACCCTGCCACCACACTGCGAACAGGATAAAAACCCTTAGACATTATTTTTACTTAAGGATTATTTGGATTCAACATTAAGAATACTAGTTATGGTTGTGGGTTAATTTTAAAACATTTTATTTATCTTACTTGTAGAATATATTGTTTGACATAGCCAATAATTATAAGCCTGTTAAAATTCAACATCTGCTGACTTTGTCTTGAAAATTTTTGTAAATTAATATACAGCAACTTAAGAAGATAATTTAGCTGATATGATGGTGCTATTACTAATTTTTTTCTTTAATTTATGTGAATATAATATTTAATAACACTAATTTATTCCTTAGAGTTAAGAAAAATAAAATGCTCAATTTTATAAACGCTCAATGGCTAAGTTATTTTAAAGAATATTTTTATTAAGACTGTTTTACTTCATATGTACATATTATGTGTTTAATGAATGAGTTTGCGTGGATGCATAAGCACATACATGTGCGCAATGTATAATGAAGGTTGTATATTAGTTGAATTACGTTTTTGTTTTACATGATACTAATTATGCTTAGAGTATACATAAGCAAGCTATTATGTATAATCTAAGTAATTATGTCATAGGTAACAGCAACTTCGTACTACTAAAATGAAATATTTGAAACTTTTATTATTAAATTATGTTAGTGTTCTTGTAGTGTACATTAAAACCTATATAGAGATTTGTAAATAATATGAAATAAAGAAATTATTCCTTTTATTTATGTTAAATCGATTTGAATTATATTATTTGGATAAATTATTTTCTAGAAAATAAAATTTGTTGTCATTCCCAAATATTTGTTTATTTTTCTTAAACATCTAAAATACACTTCCAAATGATATTATTTGCAACATTTATAACAAAAAGAGATCACAGCCTTATTTCAATTGTAAATTAAAAGTAAAATTAGCTTATAATCTATATACTTTCCACTATCAGGCAAAGGCGTTAGTTAATTTTGAGAGGGTAATTAATCAATTATTCCGCCACGCTACTCCAATACGTGTTGGCAGACTCCATATTTTTTTTATTGAATAAGGATGACAAACTAGCACACAGTCCGCCTGATGGTAAGTGTATGTTGTGGCCCATAGACATTTATAACCATCCTAGATTAAGAACCAAATGCAGTAATGCCTTAAAGTTACAGCCTATATACGTCCCACTGCTGGGCACAGGCCTCCTCTCATTTCTGAGAGGGTTTTAGGGCAAGGAATAGTCCGCCGCGCTGCCCCAATGCGTGTTGGCGAACTTCACATGTCTTCGAAATATTTTTTTTCTTATTTCTCAGACATGCAGGTTTCCTCACGATGTTTTCCTTCACCACAACTAACATAACACATAACACACAATTAACAATTTCATTGGTGCCGGCGGGGATCGAACCCGGTTTGCTCGCGTATTGTGAAATTTACAGCGAGTGCTAACCATCTGAGCTACCACGGCTCAGTAATGCCTTGTTTCCTGTAAAAGTTCACATGTTTATTTTGTGATATTTTTCTTCAACGCCGAACACGTGGTAATAAAATTGCAATTAACAAATACACTTTTGCTGGAGAGGATCGATCCTAGTTGCTCGCATACTGTGAAATTTACGACGAGCGCTTAGAGCAAACCTCTAAATCACACTTTCACACATTACAATAGCTTCAGTGAAATTACCCATCTACAATCATATCATCAAATTCTTCTTTCACAACCATGTGATTTTTAACACTTACGCATTTTTGTATGCCAGAAG